GGAGGTGCGTGTGGAGCCGTCTGTGTGTGTGTGGAGCCGTCTGTGCGTGTGGAGCCGTCTGGGGAGGTGCGTGTGGAGACGTCTGTGAGTGTGGAGCCGTCTGTGCGTGTGGAGCCGTCTGAGGAGGGTTTGTGGGGCTGCCTAGGCCGAGACCTTTCATGTGCTCCTGGTGTAGACCGGGGGTCGGTGCTAGCATCATCTGCACCTGTCACCAATTTGGTTCCAAGGTTTCGATGTGTGTTGTGTCTCTGAGCAGACTGACCCCTTGGGTATCACCCTCATTCTGGTATCCATGGAGCGGCCACTCCGAGGCCATCAGGACATCACGTGGAGAGGGAAGGTCACACAGGGAGGCCGCCCCAATGGCGGCCCTACTGGGTTGTCCTTCCGTGAGCCTGAGCACCCCAGAGGTCGCATCACCGTGTGGAGGCCTCCGGGAAACTAGACAGAGGCCAGTTGGGGAACAGCGCAACCGTGACCTGGCCACCCCCAGATACTCAGGCCCCACGTCTGGGAAGCCCCACTGGCAGCAGGACCACTTCTGAGGTCGGATTGGACCATGTTTTTAAAGACGGGGTGCGATTTTAGATTCTACTTTGCCACATCCCTCCCCCATGTGCTCTGGGCGTCTCCCATGTGGCTGTCCTGTGGCCAGGGCCACCCCACAGTGGACCTCACGGTACCCACAGGAAGCCTGCTACACCTACCTGCTGGGTGGCCATTGATCCACAGCCCAGAATAGGTGAGCCCTGAGCAGTGGGCCATGCTGCCCAGTCCACTAAAGACGTCGCTGTGCCACTGTCCCTGCAGAGAGAAAGGCAAGGTTCAGGCTGGTGGCTCCCAAGGAGCTTGCGTGGGTCCCTGCAAGGCACTGCGGCTCCCTGGGGCTACCTCGGAGCCCCAGGACCAAAGGCTGCTAGAAAACCACATTGTCTCAAGGGTCCTTGCAGCCTGTCCCTTGGTGGTGAGAAACTATGTTTCATTAGAATGTAATCCAATTTGCTTTGCAAAATATACTCCCCTTTGAATTTTAATGATGCCAGGAGGTATGGGAACAATGGCACAGTATATAAAATGCAAACAAAAACTTGAACGGGCACATTTTAGCACAAAAATCCTTCTAATACAAAGATACTGCATTTGTGCCGTGTATCATAAAGGAGGCCTGAACCCGCAAAGCGCTCGACTGTGGCGTTGGGATTAAGGTGCCCTGGTTGTCCGTCACACTGTTCGTTTATACATGAAGGAGCCAATTAAAACACAGTTTGAAAAATCGTGCCTGTGTGCTTGCCCGTTCACTGCACACCGCAACTCTGCCTCCTCCATAACAAGCCTGGTTTCCAAGTCATACAACAAAGCCTGGGAAAACCATGGGAAAAGCGTGGTGATTATGTTCATGGAAAATGTGAAGAAGTGGTATTTCATTTGACTCTGAATTACTTCCATTAGGAGAAAAATTAGCCAAAGGCATGTTTTGCTTCTATTCAGTCTTCAGCAGGAGCTAACTGGGCTCCTGCTTCTCTGCCCGGCCCTGCCAAGGTGCCTTTTCCAGGGGAGCCCCGTGCAGCTGTGGCAGGTCTGCAGGGCGCAGCATGTGCCTTCTGGGGCCTTTACGGATCCTGGGACCTGGGACATATGGAAGAGACGCGGGACACCAGCGAGGGCCTACGGCCAGGGCTGAGGAGCCAGGCAGATCAGGGAGAAGGGGATGGTGCCAGCACTCTCTCTGGCCGCAGGGAGACAGGGCCTCTGCAGACAGCCCTGAAGGCGACAGCCCCAAAGGTAAAATGGATTGCTCCCAAAGGCTGGGGAAAGCCAGGTGCAAGAGGGGCTGTGGTGCGGGGGGTAGTGAATTGCATTTGCAGATGGGCTAAAAAGGAGCCTCCAGGCCCAGGCCATCAGTGGTGGGCGGGGCAGGGCGGCTGGCAGCTGCTGGCCTGGAGCACGGCTCACGCCTCCACGCAGGGGACTCCAAGACAACCGGTAGCCTTAGCCCGAGTGGGTGCTTGGCAGCAGCAAAAACACAGCTCTCAGCTTCAGGAGAGGCTGGGCAGCTAGCTGGGGGTGCCAGATGGGCAGAGGACCGGCTGCTGTCTGGACAGGGACCTTGCTCCTGAGGCTCTTGTCCCTCCAGCACGCAGACCCCAAGATCCCAGCCAGCACCCATCTGGCTGCATTCCTGCCCTGTTCTGAGCTGAGTGCGCCACTGATGTTGGCCCCTTGGCCCAGACAGTTGCCCTGAAGATCATAGCCTGGTCACTGTGCCACCCTGGGTGCTGGGAGAGGGCCACCCACGCTGGCAACTGCAGTGGGTGGGGGCCCCAGAGCCGATGGCAAGTGGGAGTCGGTGAGAGCAGTTCTGGGGTTCAGATACCAAGGACTGGCGCGGCCCGCTGCCTCACGGCCTGCCTGGGGGCCATGCCCTGCTTGGAGCCGTGGGTGCCCTTGCAAGCACACAGCATCTCCCCTCAGCCTTGCCCCCTCGGTTCTCTGTCCTGTGACTCCAGACATTCCCATCAAACTGAGCCAGAGTCCACTGCATTTGACTGGCACTTCTTGAGGGTCCCTTCCTGGGACCATCGTTCTCACTCTGTCTCTCATCTTGTTCACGCTAGACGGGGAGAGGCGTGAGTCCGCGCACAGCTGAGGGCTCTTCGGGGTGTCTGCGTCACCGTCAGTAATGAGAATGGCGATGGCTCGTCTCTGCCTCGTCCCAGCTGCTTGGCCTCTGGAAGGCGCCCTGGGCTTTGAGGAGGAGGGAAGTGGAGCTGCGGGGCAGGGCTGGCACCAGCTGCCACGTGTTGCCCAGGGTGAGTACCCAGTGAGGTCATGGCTGGGCAGGGGAAGCCAGACACACTCAGGGCATGAGAAATGCAGCGGTGCAGAGCCCGCCTTTGGGGTGAGTGACTCCAGCCATGGTTGGTGTGGGGCTGCGGCTAACATGTGGCACAAGCCTGGCTGGCATCCCCCTCCACAGGTATGCAGCAAGCAGGTCAGGGCTTGGCATCTTCGGCACCTACTGCTGGTGTCAGGGTGGGAGGCTGAGCCCGCGCAGCAGTGCCAGGCAAGCTTCGATGCAGCACCTGGTCAGTCCAAGCACATTTGAGAGCTCAATGCAACAGGTCCAATAGCATGGTCTTGATTAATGCGTGTCAATCACACCTTTGACAATTCAGCTGTTTCTGTGGCTTGCACCCCAAGCAGGAACGAGCAGGAGCTTATTAGATAGGGTGTGGGGGGCTCCTGATGCCCGTTGATGGCACAGACTGGGACGCCGAGAGTCCTGGAGTAGCTGCCTCCTGCCCAGGCCTCGGGGAACACCCGGGCACAGTCCAGGCCAGTGCCCAGCGTGGAGGGCCACGCACAGAGCCTCAGCCGCGGAGAGGCTGGCGCTGAGGAGTGGGCATGCCACTACCTGCTCTGCCTCCTCCTCTCTGCCGGGCACCGCCTGGCACCCAGGTGAGCACAAGGTGTGCGGTGGTGATGGTGACGCAGCCTTTGGGGAAGGGCCACTTGGGGTCCAGGTCCCCACCCAAAAGAAAGACAGAGGCGAACAGTGGTTTCAAAGTTAGGACGCGGTCATACGGGTGAAGCTGACGTGCATACGTCTGTCCTGTCACAAAGGTGACCCCAGGACCATGAGGGTGTCTTCTGTGAGTGCCCACCCTTCCCTGCCCTGCTCTGCTGGGGGTGGCAGAGCACTCAGGAGACCCGGGGCAGTGCTTGGCTCTCCCCAGCCCCCAGTACTACTTGGCCGAAGGCTCACACCTCCCTTGACAGTCGAGAGCTTCGTGGGCTCAGCTGGGCTGAGGACCGCGCTGCTGCTGGCTGACTCCAAAGCCCGAGGTGGGAGAGGTTGCGAGTGCTCGGTTCTCACCCTGGGAAGCACTTCCAGTCCGTTCATTCATGCTGTTTTCTTTCTGTGCTTTTATTGGAAGCGACTCTCTCTGTTTTCAGGCCCTGGTCAGGCGTCCACCCTCCCCTGGCACCATCAGGCACTTCCTGCCTCCGGCCCTCCTAGGGAGTCCTGGGTATGGTGCTCCTCGGGGTTCAACACCCCCTAGATGTGGGTGTGAAGAGCGGGGGTCCAGCTTTCCCTAGTGTCAGCCTCGAGGGTTTGTGGTCTGCAGAAAGTAACCCCAACCATTGCCAAACCCGAGGCCTGAAGCAGGCGGGGCCTTGCTGAGGTTCACGGCCCAGTGCACCAGGTAAGGGCTCCCAGGACCAGCTGCTCAGCACCCTCAGGCCATGTCACGAGGGAGGAACCCTCCTGGCTGGGCCCTTCGACTGCCCAGGGGCTGGGCGTGCCTCGGTGGGAGGGGCACCGCTGCCTCCAGTTTCTGAGGCCCGGCCCTTCACATCGCCTCCTAGGGACAGCGAGGACCAGGGGTCCTGCGTTGGACCTCACTGGTCCCATCTCGAGTGCGCAGGCTTTAAGGTGTGAACTGTGAGGAGTTCCAGAGGGGACATGGGGCCTGCCCTAGTGGCTCTACTGGTCCCACGACGGCGTGACAATCAGCTCCCTCCACTGCCCCAGGTTGGCGAGGGGTCCATGGGAGGCAAGCTGGCCAGATTCCCCAAAGGCCATGCTCAAATACCCCAAGTTATTTACATGGTTCTCAGTGTTACGTGCACCCCTGGGGTCCCCCACTGGTCCTGGCTCCCTGGACTGTGACCCCTGGGTCCGAGGGTAGTAGTTTGGAGACCCTGGGTGGGCATTCCCACACACGCCCAGCTGAGAAGAGGAGGCTGGGGGACTGCAGCGGGCAAAGCTGCCCAGAAGGAGCCACCTGCTCTGTGCGGTGAGCAGGTGCTCGGCGCCCAGCGGCGCCTCTGGGAAAGCTGGCGTGTGAGACAGCCAACACCCGCGGCGCAGCTGACGCGGCCAGGGACGCCCAGAGGGGCGCACCGCCAACACGGGTGGGAGACGCTCCAACATGCGCGGTCCACTCCGTCTGCTCCGAATTCCGGTCCGGCTCCCAGAGAGGATGTTTTGGAGGACGTGTGGGGCCTGCCCAAGCCCTCGGGTCCTGGGAGGTCGAGGCAGCAAGCCATAAAGCAGGGGTGCCGGGGACGGAGATGGCCAAGGCGTCGCAGGCTGGCGGGGGTGCTTGCAGCCCAGGACGTCTGTGGCTCCCGGGACTGGGCTGAGCCGCGTGGCTCCCATCGCTGTGGAAGAGGAGCCTTCTCTGCTTTGGGATCCGCTGTTCTTGTTTTCCGTCAGAAGAAGCTGTACCACATTTATTTTCAGGAGTGCATTTTTTTCCAGAACGCATTTTTTAAAAAGGTTCTTCACAGAGCTCTGCATGAAGGAATACTGTCTGCAAGGCAGGAGACACGGCTTGCAGCAGACGCACCTGCTGTCGGGAGGGGAGCAGGTCTCCACGGGGGCCTCGCCAGCCCGGAGCTCGTGCTGCCTCGGGTGGCAGCCGACGTGTCCTGGAGCTGCTCCTGCTACGGGTGGGAGGATCAGAGCTGATGGAAGAGGTGCCAAGGGCACACTCCGAGGTGGGCAGAGGCGAAGGCCAGGGGCGAGAGAAGGAAGGACTCACTACTTTCTAGGCTTCTCAGAAAATAAAATGATCTCTAACAAGTGAACAGCCGGCTGGTTGGGTGTGGCTGGGGCGGCAGGGCAGTTCTGAGGCAACTCAGTGTCCACGGCGCCGGGCTCGTGGCCTCACTCGACGGCTCACGCTCCCAGGGAAGAAGTCCGAAGGCCCAAACTCCTGTACATACAGGCACTCCACAAAGCCTGGCAGTGCCAACATGGCGAGGGGAGGTGTTCCGGGATGGACGCGACTGGT